GTAGCTGGGATTACAGGCACGTGCCACCACGCCCAGCTAATTTTTAAAAAATTTTTAGTAGAGACAAGGTTTCACCATCTTGGCCAGGCTGGTCTTGAACTCCTGACCCTCGTGATCCACCCACCTCGACCTCCCAAAGTGCTAGGATTACAGGTGTGAGCCACTGCACCCGGCTATTTTTGTATTTTTTTGTAGAGACAGGGTTTCGCCATGTTGCCCAGGCTGGTCCCGTGAGCTCAAACCATCTGCCTGCCTCAGCCTCCCAAAGGGCTTTGTTTGTTTTTTAAAAGCAAGGCAGTTGGTAATAGCATGGCAATTGATAACAGTGAAGGCTCTGGAGCCAGAATGCCTGCGTTTGCAGCCAGGCTGCACACTAGCCATATGAATTTGGACAAACTACTTCATCTCTCATCCCAAGTTTCCTCATTTGTAAATGGGATTGTGATGATGGTTAAGCTAGTCGCACAATGCCTAACACACAAGAAGCACTTCAGTAGTAGGTGGAAGCAAGATGCTGGAGGTGGTGGTGGTGATGGTGAAGGCTCAACCAAGGCCATGTCAGTGGGCTGGAAAGAGAGCATCAAGAGACATTCTGAGGTTGTAAACCTCATGTAGTAAGCTGAGTAAACGGGGACATGGTAATGATATTAACTGAGATTGGCCTACAGAACTGGAGCAGGTTAGAGGTGAGGGGGCACAGAGAGACAAGGAGTTTGCTTTTGGTCAGGCAGGTAGGGAGAAGTCAGCTCTAAGGGTCTAAATAAAGGATTCTAGGGCCAGAGATCAAATGATTCTCTCAGCCATTTGTGTATTCATTCATAAAACATGTATCAAATGCCTTTTCTGTGCCAGGCACTGTCCTAGGCTCTGAGGATAAAGAAATAAGCAGATGTAGTCTCAAGAAACAATTTTGTGGAGGAGAAGACCAAAACAACAACAAAAAGCAAGTTATAAGTGTGATAATGATGATTTATGCACTAGAATGTGAACAGGGTATCATGGAACTTGAGAGGTGGTCTGGGTGGGTGGTACTAGTAAGGAATATTTCCAAGAGGATGTGCCTGTGAGTGGAGGCTTAAAAAGTGGTAGTTTTTAGATGAATAGAGGAGTGTCTGAGAGAGCAGGGCCTGATGGGAAATAAGAGTTGTGTGGTCTTGCTGGGCAAGGATGCATATAGAATGTGAATGGGCTTGAGGCTGAAAGTATAGCCAGGGTCAGGTCATGTAGGGCCCAGTGTCACCTATAAAAGCAAGCCGCTAGAGACCTTTATGCAGGGAATGCTCAAGACCAGATTTTTCTCTTAATATTATTCTGGTCACAGTATGGAGTACAAATTGAAGGAGAACAAGACTAAAGCCAGGGGGAGCATTCATGCTGTTCATTCATTTAACAAACATTTATCAAGCACCTACAGGTGCCAGGCACCAGTCCAGTTGCTGGGGTCATAGTGGACTGTGAGATTCATGCCAGTCCCGGCTCCCATGGAGCTTATGTTCTAGCGTGTGTTGTGGGTAGAACCGGTGGAGCAGGACCAGTTAGAAAGCTACTGTAGTAGCCCAAGGGAGAAATAATGAAGACTGAAGCTAGTGCTGAAATGAGAAATGGATGTGAGTCTTTTTCTTTCTATTGTCAGTAAAAGTTAAAGTTGGCACCTGTTGCGGATTGAATGGATGTGGGAATAAGAGAAGAGCTGTCTAGGATCAGCTTTAGGTATCTAGTTGTTTCCCTCAAGTAGATTATATCTGTCAATATGCTACCCACATGTTTTGCCTATCACTTGCTGGGTTGTATGCTGATGGGTTACTTAAACTCTGTACCTCTGTTTCCTTAACTGAAAAATGAGTCTAGTATTCATGCAACTCGTAGGGTTCTTTGAGGCGTACAAGAGCTAATGAATAAAAGGGTATGACAGACAGCAAATTTTTGCTATTATTATTATTGATACTATGCATATAGGATTTAATGTGGTATGGTGATCAGTACTCTTAGTTTTATTTATTTATTTGTTTATATTTTTGAGATGGAGTTTTGCTCTTGTTGCCGAGGCTGGAGTGCAATGGTGCTATCTTGGCTCACAGCAACCTCTGCCTCCTGGGTTCAAGCAATTTTCCTGCCTCAGCCTCCCAAGTAGCTGGGATTACAGGCGTGAGCCACCATGCCCAGCTAATTTTTTTGTATTTTTTAGTAGTGATGGGGTTTCTCCATGTTGGTTAGGCTGGTCTTAAGCTCCCAACCTCAAGTGATCCACCAGCCTCAGCCTCCCAAAGTGTTGGGATTACAGGTGTGAGCCACCACGCCCAGCCTACTTTTATTTTGCTTTAAGAGCCAAGGTGTCACTATGTTACCCAGGCTGGACTCAATCTCCTGGGCTCAAGTGATCCTCCCCCATCAGCCTTCCAGGTATCTTGGATTACAGGTATGTTCTGCTGTGCCTGGCTTCTGTGGTTGCTTAACAAGTGCATGTTGAATGAATGAAGAGAACTAGTTAAGTAAATTCAGTCAAGTGATGTCTGTCATTAGATGAACCATCATTGTAGGATAGGTATAGAAAAGGCTGATGAGAAATTCTGTGGATGTGCCTTTTTGGAACCACCTGTAAATATCTTCCTACAGCCAGGAACGGTGGCTCAGGCCTGTAATCCCAGAACTTTGGGAGGCTGAGGCGGGCGGATCACAAGGTCAGGAGATTGAGACTATGCTGGCCAACATGGTGAAACCCTATCTCTTCTAAAAATACAAAAATTAGCTAGGTGTGGTGGTGCATGCCTGTAGTCCCAGCTACTTGGGAGGCTGAGGCAGGAGAATCGCTTGAACCCAGGAGGCAGAGGTTACAGTGAGCTGAGATCACGCCACTGTACTCTAGCCTGGGCAACAGAGTAACATTCCGTCTCAAAAAAAAAAAAAAAATCTTCCTACAATTATGTAGGACTCTATCTATAAATATTTTCCTAGAAATAAATATGTATTTTTTTCCTAGATACTTTCCTAGCTGCAAGTACGATTTTAACTTACATGCATGCCGTTACATTCAATGGCCTTATTTTTCCTCACATTCCTGTTATTAGATTTCTGGCCTACACAAGAGCCTAGGACAGAAAGAAAGTAAAATCCAGCAGCTAGAAGAAACTATAAGTAAAATTGAAAAGGAGTTCAAGCAGTATACACAGTTTTTTGGCAGAAATGGAAGCTTCCTCTCAAACATCCAGGTAAGAAGTGGCCTTTCTGTTGAAAGCCAAGATTTGGCTTTCAATTGCAGTGAGAATTTTTCTTTTAACTGTTTAAATAGAAATAATTTAAAATATACAGAAAAGCTGTAAGAATAAGATGGTGCTAAGAACACTTGTATAACCTCCACCCAGATTCACTCATGGTCAACATTCTGTGCTGTTTGCTTCATCATTCATGCTCCCTGCTGCTGCCCCTTCCCCGATGTGTGTGTGCACGCGCATGTGCGCTTGCTAAACCATTTGAGAGTACACTGTGTATATTATTGCCCTTTACCTCTACATATTAATACTTCAGTATATATTTCCTCAGAATAAAGATCTTCTTTTACACAACCCCAGTAACTTTAACATTGATACAACACTTCTATATAATTTATAGCCATTAGAGTTTTAATTAATGTTGGGCCAATATTAATCATTTGATTGCAGAGTCATTGAGAGCATCTGTAGTCCTGTATTTTGTAGTCAACAAGTGAAATATTAATTCCCTTGAGAAGAAAATGCTTTAAACATCCACTAAAATATAGCAAAAAGAAGTACTTTGTAAATTATGAATGTTAAGTAACCATAAATGAATTCTGATGAATAACATCTTTATCATGATTATAAAATTTATAGTGAAAAAGATTTCAAGACATGTGGTATAGGAAATATGTTTGAAACTTAGATTATCCCAGAAAATCTAGGCCCTATCATTTCCATATTTGTCCAGCACATTACATACATACATACCCCCCACATATACATACAATATATATGTATGTGAAATATATATGTAAGATATATGCATATGTGTATATACATATATATGTACAGATGCTCCTTGACTTACAATGGAGTCATGTCCTGATAAACCCATTAAGTTGAAAATATCATGTCAAAAATATATTTAGTACACCTAACCTGTTAATCATAGCTTAGCCAAGTATACCTTAAATGCGCTCAGAACACTTACGTTAGCCTACAGTTGGGCAGTCATCTAACACAAAGTCTATTATATACTAAAGTATTGAATTCCCCATGTAATTTATCAAATACTGAAAGTGAAAAAATAAAATGGGTACTCTGAATAGCCATACCTTGTATATACACACACACAGAAAGGAAGGAGTAGTTTTATTAATCTTTTCCACCTGAGAGAGCAGTCAGGCGTTTAGGCCTTACTCAGGGCCTTCTGTACCACCTGTAGAGCTCAGGCCAGAGCAGGTGGGCCTATTCCCTCTCATTCTCCACCTTCTGGCAGAGCAGGAGTGAATCAGGAGACTGGCCTCTAAGAAGAGAAAGAAGTGATAGGGCAAGAGGAGAGAGAACATGAAAATAAATATATAAAGATGGATTAGAGAACCAAGCAGAGGGAAATTTCAAAGGGAGGATAAAAATTAGATAAAGAGAAGTTCAAACATTTAGAACAGGAGCTGTGGTAAGAGAGGAGGAGGAGGAAGATAATTACGTGGCTTATTTCTCTGTGATCCTCATTGAATTTTATTTTCTGGACTTGTATTTTTCATCCTGTTAATTGATTGATTAAATGTGATATGTTTGAATTGAAAAAAAAAGTTAATGAATTACTAAAATAGTAACTAATTTTTTAAACATCATGATCCATTTTGTAATGAAAGGTTTTTGCCAGTCACATTGACAAGTTGGCTTTGCTAGAAGCTCAAATGCATCAATTATCACAAACTGTTAAACAGCAACAAAATGAATTTGACCTGAGGCCTTTGATGGAAGCAGTTGATACAGTGAAACAGAAAATTACCCTGCTAGAATACAATGATCAAAGATTAGGTATGTCTGATATCTTATTTCTCTTTTGGTGACTCATTTGTCTGCATGTGTTCATGAAACAAACATCTAGCCAAATAGAGAGTCACATCTGTCCAGGATAAATAATGGCGGAATCTGCTATTTGTGAGAGCGTCGTGAGATTTCTAGCTACTCAGGCAAAAATGAGGAAGGACCATGAGCGGGGTTGGGGGACTGGGCTAGGAAATTCCAAGACTGGAAACAGGACTGCAAATTCCAACAGGGATTGATGACTTTTAAGAAGAGTGGAAAATAATGAGAAAGCGCAGGGAGAGATATGGTGGGATCATTGTTTAGGTATGGAAAAATATAAAAGGGTTTGACTATTTAAAAGCATTCTAGTTGGAAAAGTATGGGGCTCAGCATGCTGATTCACGCTAGTTGAATGCTCAGTGTGTCTTCTCTACACTTCAGTGAGTTTGAGTACACATCCAGGTTTCCTTGGAGGCAGTGTGCCGAGACATGATATTTCCTGAGTTAGTATTATTACAATAAATGCTCCATTTTCGGACACTGAATTCGGGTCATCTTTAAGATACCAGAATTCCCAAATTCCACTTTGGGAAAATTCTAAGTATATGTTTTAGGCGTATGCAACCTTTTTTTTTTTTCCTTATTTGCAGCTGTTTTAGAAGAGGAAACTAACAAACATGATACCCACATTAATATTCATAAAGCACAGCTGAATAAAAATGAAGAGCGATTTAAATTGCTGGAGGGTACTTGCTATAATGGAAAGCTCATTTGGAAGGTGACAGATTACAAGATGAAGAAGAGGGAGGCGGTGGATGGGCACACAGTGTCCATCTTCAGCCAGTCTTTCTACACCAGCCACTGTGGCTACCGGCTCTGTGCTAGAGCATACCTGAATGGGGATGGGTCTGGGAAGGGGACACACCTGTCCCTGTACTTTGTGGTCATGCGAGGAGAGTTTGACTCATTGTTGCAGTGGCCATTCAGGCAGAGGGTAACCCTGATGCTTCTGGACCAGAGTGGCAAAAAGAACCACATTATGGAGACCTTCAAGGCTGACCCCAATAGCAGCAGCTTTAAAAGACCTGATGGGGAGATGAACATTGCGTCTGGCTGTCCCCGCTTTGTGGCTCATTCTGTTTTGGAGAATGCCAGGAACACCTACATTAAAGATGACACTCTGTTCTTCAAAGTGGCCGTGGACTTAACTGACCTGGAGGATCTCTAGTCACTGTTTATGGGGTGATAAGAGGATTTCTTGGGGCCAGAACCATGGAGGAGAGCACATTTGATTATCATATTGACCTGGATTTAGACTCAAAGCACATTTGTATTTGCCTTTTTCCTTTGAAGTCAGTTTAAAACTTCTGAAGTGCTGTCTTTTTACATTTTACTCTGTCCCAGTTTGAAAGTTAAAACACCTAGAATACCCTATTATTTATATTTTTATATTTCTTGAAAGATGGTAAGTTTCTTGAAGTTTTCGGGGCGTTTCTCTTTTACTGGTGTTTAGCGCAGTGTCTCAGGCACTCTAAATATTGAATGTTATGGAGGACATAGAGGCAGCAGAATTCCCAGTTGAAATGCTTTGATATTTTATTGTTTGGCCTGTTGATTCTAGACCTGGCCTCAGCCTGCAAAAGCCGTCTTTATAAAGATAAGGTAGGCTGTTCCAGGTAAGTAGTGGGTGATGTAGTTACAAAGATAACATGCTCAGTTTCGACCTTTTTTTTTTTCCAGTTAAATGCTAAATACATGGAAATTACTATACCTCTAAGTATTTTTATGAAATTCATTAGCAGTTTGCAAGCACAATTTTGCAAGGCCACACAAGAACTGGTGAATGGGGTAAGGATTTTCATTCTCCCTGAAGTAAAGCAGAAAGTACTGCTTAGTAATATATAAGATATAGCCAGCCAGCTACGGTTCAGATTTCATTAGGTTCAACCCTATGAAAAAAACTAATTTCATAGGTCAAATGTGGTCAAAAATTAGCAGTTTCATAAGATTCAACCAAATAAATATATATGTACATATATATACACATATATATATATACACATATCCACCTATATGTGTATGTATATAAACAGTTTGAATGTATTTTGATAACAATAATAAATCAATGTGAAGATGGATAGAATTTAGTACATGATAGAGAAAATGTCATAAATGGATAAAAGGAATTTACAACTTGGGGAGAAAACCTTTGCAGTTTCCTGTGGGTGTCAGAAGTACTCTCAGCCAAAGCTGATGGCTAAAACAGTATTTCCTATTCTCTGAGAACTTTCTTTTTTGAGTCAAAGTGTCGCTCTGTCACCCAGCCTGGAATGCAATGGCACAATCTCAGCTCACTGCAACCTCCACCTCCTGGGTTCAAGTGATTTTCCTGCCTCAGCCTCCTGAGTAGCTGGGATTACAGGTGTCCGCCACCACACCTGGTTGTATTCTTATTAGAGACAGGGTTTCGCCATGTTGGCCAAGATGGTCGCAAACTCCTGACCTCAAGTGATCCATTGCCTCAGCCTCCCAAGGTGCTGAGATTACAGGCGTGGCCCACCGCGCCCAGCCTCTGAGAACTTTTGAATTTGTAAGCTGATATGCAAATGGGCATTTATATAAACTTGTAATATTTCTTGTCAGAATTCTAAGTACTGTGTGAAGAACAGAAATGATCATGTTTTTATACATCTATCTGTATGGGTCTGAAGGTGTATATACAAATTGAGATGAGTCCATATGACTCTTGATGAGCCCGAGTTTGACCACAAAAAAATGCCAAGTTGCCTTGAGCCCTTCTGCATTGTTATGCCACTTCCTACTGCTCATATACAGGCTGCCTCTCCTGGACACGCAGGGATGCGTATGGGCCATGGGCCCCTGCAGAGCTGCTCACCTGGTAATGACCATGCACCTTACAATTTCTGAACAGTTAGCCCTATAGAAGAAGCGTGAGTTATATGAGTGTCTTCTGGGAAGAGGAACCTTCTTAATCTCTCCTGTGGGATTTTCAGCATTTGTGCTGCCAAAGCAAGCACTCTTCTGAGGGATTTTCAAAATGCTAAAGACTCATACTGCAGCAGTCATCCCAGATGATTAAATTCAAAGAAATAGGTTCACATTAGGAACATACTAAAGAACCAGAGTGTTGCTGTTGGTGAACTGTGCACAGTTGATGCTCAACACATCACCTGAAACAAACTCAGGAAACATTTCTGTAGCCCACACAGCCAGAACCAGGTGCTCAGTGTGTTTGTTTTTAATGTTCTTCATCATATCCAAGTTCACTGTATCTTCCTGGGCAGTGGAAGATCATATTGTTGTAACTTCTTTTAAGTAGTTGATGTGGAAAACATTTTAAAGTGAATTTGTCAAAATGCTGGTTTTGTGTTTTATCCAACTTTTGTGCATGTGTAGAAAGTATGTCATGGCATGGTTTGCTTAGGAGTTCAGAGTTCCTTCATCATTGAAATAATGATAAGCGATCCCAGAACAAGGAGTTCTACAGCAAAAAGCACCCCTTTTTCACAAAACAAGAGTTGTGATTTTTGTTTAAAACAAGGTATATCCATGTAAACTATTTTTCCTTTTATGAATGAAATAGTAATTTTTCTTCTGTATCAATAAGATTTAAATTTTTGTTTCCATTTTGGGTTAATTTTGGTTCCTGATAAAAAGATAACAATGTGCTAAGCATAAAGGGGGAGTTAATATCCTTGAGAAAGTTACAGAAGGATTACAGTGGGAGTGTGTGTGGAGGTGCGTATTAATGCTTATTAACAGGTCTGAAATCTGACCCGATTTCCACATTTGGTATTTTCAGAGAAACAAGAGATAGTCACAGCCAGGATCAATTCACAGTGCCAGTCCTGAATACAAGCTAATAGGACAGTGAGGTACAAACCCTTCATGTGGTCCCTGGATAATCAGTCCACACTACTGACTACCTCTTCTCTTAGACAGCAGTTGGAGGCTGGGCGTGGTGGCTCACACCTGTAATCCCGGCACTTTGGAGACTGAGGTGGGCGGATCACCTGAGGTTGGAAGTTCGAGACCAGCCAACATGGAGAAATGCCATCTCTAGTAAAAAATATGAAATTAGCTGGGTGTGGTGGTGGATGCCTGTAATCCCAGCTACTCGGGAGGCTGAGACAGGAGAATCACTTGAACCCAGGAGGCAGAGGTTGCAGTGAGCCGAGATTGTGCCATTGCACTCCAGCCTGGGCAATAAGAGCGAAACTCCATCTCAAAAATAAAAAAAAAAGCAGTTGGAGATATACATCTCAATCTTATATAAGAATTCTGAGCTGGAGGCCCGGCACGGTGGCCCAGGCCTGTAATCCCAGCACTTTGGGAGGCCAAGGTGGGTGGATCATGAGGTCAAGAGATAAGACCATCCTGGCCAACATGGTGAAACTCTGTCTCTACTAAAAATACAAAAATTAGCTCAGTGTGGTGGCTTGCGCCTGTAATCCCAGCTACTCGGGATGCTGAGGCAGGATAATCACTTGAACCCAGGAGGCGGAGGTTGCAGCGAGCTGAGATTGTGCAACTGCACTCCAGCCTGGTGACAGAGTGAGACTCTGTCTCCAAAAAAAAAAAAACCTACTAAGTATTCCGAGCTGGCTGGAGATAAAGGTTTGATGGAGGCACAGTAGGGGTCCCCGATGGTGAAATCACACAGGAATAACACATTCTATGGGAAGACAAAGAAGAGCCTGCAAAGCATTTGCAGAAGGAATGATCAGAGGTAAGAGAAACACCAAAGAAAGTGGGAAGAGAAAAGAATGTCAACAGGGCCAAATGCCAGCCTGGGAATAGTAGCTGCTCCCAGACCATTCCCATAGTCCTTGTGAACTCACTATCACCCCCATGCTGCTCTCTCCTCAAGTCTGCATCTCTGACCCTGGTCTTTGCCATGAGATACAGACTCCTACATCTGAGTACCTGCTGAACACCTAAATTTAGGAGTCCCATGGGGACTTTAAGGACCACTTCACCATACTGAACTGGAAATCTTCCCACCTTCCCCAACGCTGCCAACCTATTACTCCTCCATTTCTTCTACCTCAGTGACATCATTGTCCAAGCCAAAAGTTTGGACACTATTCTAGATTCTTCCCCCACCTTCCCCATCCAGTAACCTACCCTGCACTGCCAATTTGACCTCCAAATAATTTCTTTAGAAGTATTCCTACTACTTACCCCTGCTCAGTGCTACTGTTCTATTTCAGGTCTACATTATTTTTTAACTCATAACTATTCTTCCTATTTTTAGTTTTGCCTCTTTGAAATCCAACCTTTACACTGTCACCTGATGATCTATCTCAAATCTGAGTATGACTCTGACCTCATCCACACTGTGGCTTCATAGCCCATAGGAAAAAGCCCAGCCTCCATGGAGTGGCATACAAGGCCTTCCGTGACCACTTCTACCATTCCAGCCTCACCTTCTGACATTTCTGCTTTGCATGTAGCAACCACCCCAAGCTAGCTGACATTTGTCTGAGCTTGTGCTACATGTCTGTCTGGAATACTTTTTTTTTTTTTTTTTTTTAATTTTTTAGATAGGGCCTTAGTCTGTCACCCAGGCTGCAGTGCAGTGGTGCAATTACAGTTGACTGCAGCCTTGACCTCCCTGGATTCAGGTGATCCTTCCACCTCTGCCTCCCAAGTAGATGGAACTACAGGCTTGCAACACCATGCCTGGCTAATTTTTTTTGTATTTTCTGTAGAGATGGGGTTTTACCATGTTGCCTAGGCTGGTCTCAAATTCCTGGGTTCAAGTGATCCGTCTGCTCCAGCCTACCAAAGAGCTGTGATTACAGGTGTGAGCCCCCATGTCTGGCCTGGAATACTCTTCTTTATTTTTACCTTCTTTGCCTGGATAATTCTTGCCCTTCAAGAGTCTGCTTTGGCCTCATCTTCTCTGGGAATCCTTCCTAAAGGTTCCTTTAATCTGTAATCCCACTCCCACATTTCACCCTTTGTAACTGCCCATTGGGTTCATTTTGCCCATTGTCCAGATAGAGCTGGTTTATCAAGACAAATAAATTGCAATAGAGAAAGAATTTAATTCACACAGCTGGTTTGCACAGGAGACCCCAGTTTTATTATTGCTCAAATCAGTCTCCTAAAAATTTAAAAACTGGGGTTAAGGATAATCTCATGGGTGGGGGGCAGGTAGTGGGGAGTGCTGACTGGTCCCCCAGGAAATGGTGAGTCAAAGTTGTTCTCTAGTGCTGAGTCAGTTACTGAGTGGAAGCCACAAGACCATCGATCTGGGTAGGACCAGCTGATCCATCCAGTGTGGGGTCTGAAAATACCTTGAGCACCAATCCTAGGTTTTATAATAGTGATGTTATCCCTAGGAGCAATTAGGGAGGCTTAGACTCATAGCCTCTAACTCTATGACTCCTAAACAATAATTTCTAATCTGTGGCTAACTGGTTAGTCCTACAAAGGCAGTCGAGTCCCCAGGCAGTAAGGAGGTTTGTTTTGGGATAGAACTGTTGTCATCTTTGTTTCAAAGTAAAACTATAAGTTTCTCCCAAAGTTTTTCTGCCTATACTCAGAAATGCACAAGAACAGCTTGGGGGTTAGAAGTGAGATGGAGTTGGTTAGGTCAGATCTCTTTCACTGACATAATTGGCTGTCATAATTTCTGCAAAGTTCGGTTTCACCTTCACTATGTCAAGAGTCCTTGCTCTGTGCTGCTTACTTCCTTGCGCATATCTCAATTGCTCAACTTTTCTTTTTCTGGAAAACAAATGTTGACTACATATTTGTCAGATTGTGTGAGTTACAAATAGAACAGCTATTGACCCTGTCCTCCTCAGACTTCTAATCTGTAGGTCAATCACAAGTGGTACAGAAAAATGATCAGTGTGTAAATGTTCCCAGCCTCCGGACTGACAAAAGACTTTGCCTTTCAACTTCTTTCCCCAGTGCCCTAAGAAATTATACCTCTCAGACGTGTTCTGAATGTTTATGATGCAAAATAAGAGAACAGGCAGAAACACATTTGAAAGGTGACCTCTAAGGGAAAGGTTTATGGAGAATAGCTGAACAGATCTACATAAGGATTGGAGAGAATTAAAGAAGAGAGAGGAGGGAATTCGAAAGATCCTCCAGTGTGTCTGGGTACTGTTGTTTTCCACATTTGGCCTCTGGCTCTTCTGGAGAGTGTGCAAACTACAAGATATTGTTAAAGTCCTTTTCTTTCTCAACCAGAGTGGATCCTGTTGTTCGTAACTAACAGTCTGACCTAATCAAGCTGAGATCTGAAAGATGAGTCAGCTATGGGAAGAGCTATCAGGGTGTATCAGTATCCGGGCACAGGGTACTGAAGAGTGTTGGCTCAAGGAACCGAGAAAAGGATAGGTGGTAGGAGTGCTGTAGACATCAAGAGAATGAGAGTTGAGGAGGTTAGAGAGGGAGGCATAGGGTTTAGAATCTGAGGGCTCAGGCCATTGTGAGAAGTTTATGGTTTATGTAAAGTATAATGAAAGTTAACATGTTTTTGGCAGAGGGTGCATGATCTGATTAACGTTTTCTCTCTTGTGTGGAGAGTAGATTAGAAGGGGGACATGAGAGGACTTGGGAAGAGTATTTAAGGTTAAATCATATTGAAATTGCATTTCATGTCTGTTCCCTTATGAGATCATTGAAGCCAAGAACCATATCTAATTCAAAAGTGCATAGTAGGTGCTCAAATAGTGTATTAAGCTGAATGAATACATACAATAATGCACTGCAATTTTTATAACAACTCTGATAGGCAGGTCTTCTGCCCATTCCATAGATGAAAAAAATGGTGAAGAGATCCAAGTACTAGGCACTGCCCTAAGAATGTTACATATATTAACACATTGATCTTACAACCTCATGAGGTATATGCTATTTTATCTCCACTTTACAAATGAAACAACTGAGGCACAGAGAGTTTATGTAATAAGCTCTAGGTTACTCAGCTAAAAAGTGGTAGTGCTAGGACTTGAATCCAGGTAGTCTGGCCTCACAGTCTCCAGTCTTAACCACTACACAGACTGCCTCATATGGATACTGATGACTTCTACACACACACACATGCATATAATGATATACCTTTAAATGAGTTAGAAGAGTACTATTCATAGAATAAAAATCAAATATAACTTTCAAACCACTAAAGTGGGAAAAAATTGGAAAAAGAAACTGTCAAACCAAAGGCAGAAAAGAGAACAGGAAGCATGATACATACAATGAGTGAGATCTATCCATGAATAAGTTAAGTGTTACTATTAAGAGGGAAATTTCAAATGAGGGGGACATATACATGCTTTTAAAAAACATACCAAAAACAAAATGGAGCTAATAACTGAATGAGCTATATATTCAGAGAAACTCTTGCACATGTGTACCAGGAAACACGTACAAGAAAATTTACTATCAGTAGTTTGTAGTGGGGAAAAAAAAGGAGGGCAAAAAAAAAATAACCTGTGTTGGCATGGAGTGGAGCAACAGCAGCTCTCCTGCATTGCTGGTGGAAGGGTAAGCTGGTATAACCACTGGAGAACAATTTGGCAATATCAGAGTTGAACTGTGCAAGCCCTTCCACCTTGCAATTCCATTTCTAGATATTATGTAAAAGAAATTTTTACCATATGTCTAAGAAGCTGTATACAAGCGTTAACTCATGTTGCAGTGATAGAAATCAGGAATTATTAAATTGCTAGCAACTTGAGAATGGAGAAATGGTGGTATAGTTATACAATAGAATACTATTCAGTAGTTAAAATAAAAAAAATTAGAACTACAGGAATCAACCTGGGTAAATTTTACATACATAATTATAAGTGACAGAAGCAAGTGACATGAATATCATTTATATTAGGTTTAAAAAGCATAAAACAGTACTGTATGTTACTTAACATTGCTACATGTATATGGATCATATATAAAAGCTTTCATGAGAATGACAGATACCAAATTCAAGGAAGTAGTTAATTCCAAAGGGGAAGAAAGGGAGAATGAGATTGCAGACAGTTTCACAAGGAGCTCTAACTGAATGTTAAAATTTGAAACAAATACGAGAAAATGTTAAAATGGGATAAAGCTAGATGGTCGGTTCACAGGTGTTCATTATATTATTGTCTGTAACTGTATATTCTTGTAATATTTCATATTAAACATTTTAAAGGAAAGTGAAGCTTTCAAAATTCTAGAAAACAATAAAATAAATCCAAAGTAATAAATTAATGAAGACATACATTAATGAAAGAGAAATTACTTTTAAGACAGATTTTATCTATAAAACCAAAAGCTGGTTCGGTAAATATGATCAAGAAAAAGACTCCAATAGAATATATAAGAATATATAAGAACATATAAGAATGGTTGAAAACAATATGAGATTTTAAAAAAATGTTAGCAAATGTAGCTGAAATACTTTTCTAGAAAAATTAAAACTATTTTTCTCAAGAAGCAAAAGAACAAATTATACGTATCAACAACCATGGAAGTTATATAAAAAACAAAACTATCCATTAAGATGGCACCACACCCAGAAGACTTTAAAGATGAGTTCTTCAAAACCTAAGGAATGAATCATTCACACATGCTATGTCTATTCCAGGTCATATAAAAATAAGTTAATCTGATTCCTAGCACAACCTGATATCAAAACTAGACAAGAACAGCAAAAGAAAACCATAAGCCAACCTAACTTAGGTGTATACATGAAAACCCAAAGTTAAATACACAGCAGATTGCATCCAGCAATATACTGAAAAAGTAACATACCAGGATTGTAAGGATGGCTCACTATTAGAAAATCTATTAATGTAGTTATTTTATTGTAGAGTAGTGGAAAAAAGCCATATAATCTTCTCAAAGACTGATAGTGAAAATACTTGGTAAATCTGTCATTTGCTGATTAAAAAAAAAATGGAATAACTTGGTAAACTACAAAAAGAACACAATTTGTCTATACACCCACTCACACACACATCATAAATCTGCAGAAGACATCTTGAATGAAACCTTAGATGCAATCCAAATAACTCCTGGTAAGAAATAAGTACCTCTGTGGCTACTATTCAGGGTTGTATTGGATTCTTGGGAGAAGCCAAAATTGTTATTTACAGACAAACTCTTACCTACAAATTAAAGAGGATTGCCTGTCAAATTATTAGATTACGAAGGTTTAGTGAAGTGACCAGGTAGGTCAACAATCAAAAACCATACTTATATAAGGGTACTAATGGTTAACAGTCCATTAGTAAAACAACAAAATAGCTACGAAAAACTTAAACATGCACAACACCAAGCAAACTGCAACGCTTTACCTAAAGAAAAGAACTGAATAATAATAATAATAATAAAAGCCATATTGCTGGATGGGAATCCTTAATATTGTACTACTATCAAATCTTGGCAAATCTACAAAAATACGGAATCCCAAACAAATCCCTGGAAATCTTTGCCATTTGGCGCCAATGTACGAAATAAATCAGCCCAAGGGTGTGAGGTTCCTCACAGGTGCGTGAAAACGCTTCGCGAGGGGTCCAGCCGCGGACAGAAAAGCCTCAGCCTGAATCCCGCGCCCTTCCAGGTGCCCTCCCCTCCCACCGTGCCCGCAGCCCCCACCAAAGGCTCCGCAACTGGAAGAGCCACTTCTGTCCCGCCCCACTCTGTGGCGTAGGTGGGACATTTCCGGTCGTTTGTTGCGCGTGCGCGCGCTCTGACGTTCCCTGCGTCTCATCCCCGCGCAGCCCTGCCCGTCGGGCGTTGGGTTTCCCGGCGCTAGTAGCGCTGGGTCTTCGGCACCCTCGGTCCGGTTGGGGCTGTCAAGCCGGACCAAATAGGTTGTTTCTCTGCAGTTTCCAGTAAGTGACCGTTCCAGCCGGGGCTGTGGCTAGAAAGAGTGTGAAGGCAAAACGGTAGAGGTCGCGCCACCATTTTCTTCTCACCTCACTCTTTCCTCAACGGCCCCTCGGTCACCCCGAGGGGACTGTTGGTAGCCCCCTCTCCCTCGTCCCCCGCTAATGAGGCCGCTCCCAAGCTCTGAGTTTCCCCAGAGGATGTGTCCTTTGTCATAAAAGCGCTCATAGCATTTAGTGCTAATCTTCGACGGCCGCCGACTTCTCAGATGCACCATGGAGGGTGTGTTCTAGGTCTGACACGTCTCAGCCCTTCCGCTTCCGGTAAAATGTGATGTCCCCACCACCACTTCTTACTCCAGTTCTCATTGTGACTATATCCTCTGTTTCAGAATCTTATCACCTTGTAACAAAAAATGTACCAAGGAGGATTCCACTTTGCGCCCTTTCCTCCCTTCTCAAAAAAAAAAAAAAAACCTTCTCGTATTAATAACAAGAGTGCCTTAAGAGTAAGGTACTGACTTAAGCGCTTTACACGCATTTAATCTTCCCACGACAGTCCTTAGGTAGGCAGACATGAGAAAATTAAGGCACCGAAAAGTTAAATAATTTGCCCAAGGCAACATAGGTTGGATGTGGTAGGCTTGAAATTTGAATTTATTGGGTTGCTGACTCAATCTGGCATTATCATTCATTCTCTTTCCCAATCACTGGACATTAATTTTTTCTTTTTTTAGTTGATTCTACAGAGGACTTTTTTGCCTTAATGCTGTCTAGAGGGTTCTTGAGAAATTCGGATTCTGAGAACTCTTTTCTCAGAACTCTCCTCAAACAGACCTTAAGTGGTGTTTTACCAAATCTAAGCTCAATAATATTTTGCCTATTCAAAATGTGCGTATACTTCCTTAACAAAGTACCTCTAAACCAGTACCCACTAACCAGCCTCCTTCCTCTCCCTCAATATGACACTGATTATCACTGTTCTCAGCAAACATTTGGGCAGCTAGCTTATGTAAGACAGTAAAAGTAATTGCGGTTTCGAAGAACTCTGAGGTTTAGTTTCGACCTGAAGGAGAAACATGAAAAGGGCTTCTTGAAAAGGCCTTCTTAAGAAGGCCATATAAAATAGAAATAAATCTCAGTTGCACAGAATACAAATTGTGTCAGAGCAACTTTGGACAAATCAGATAAGTGCTATATTTGTTTACTCATCTGTAAAATGTTACAGTTAGGCTAGATCACTAAAATATAAATCTAAGTTCAGAGAAGAGTGATCACTCTGTCCTGATGTGGAAACTGTTCAGGGAGGTGGAGGTTGTAGCTTTGTTGTTAGTTTTTTGTTGTTTCTTTTTTTTTTTTGAGACAGGGTCTCACTCTGTCACCGAGGCTGGAGTGCAGTGGTATGATCAGGGCTCACTGCAGCCTCTATCTCAGCCTCCTTAGTAGCTGCGACTATAGGTGTGCACCACCATGCCTGGCTAATTTTTGTATTTTTTGTAGATACAAGGTCTCACTATGTTGCCCAGGCTCATCTTGAACTGGCTTCAGGCAATCCTTGGCCTCCCAAAGTGCTAGGATTACAGGCAAGAGCCACTCCACCCTATCTGTAGTATGTTCTTGATACGAGACAAGGTTGAAGGATTTAGAGTACATTTTTCTCATCTTGAATATCTGATAAAATCGGTAGATCTGCCATCGAGAGGATTAAAGAAAATGTGTGTGTGCGTGTATGTGTATGCATGCCACAGAGTACTATTTAGCCATAAAAAACGAAATCCTGTTTTTTCCAGCAACATGGGTAGAACTGGAAGCCCTTATCCTAACTGAAATAACTCAGAAACATAAAGTCAAATACCACGTGTTCTCACTTAAAGTAGGAGCTGAGAAGCAATGGGCATACGTATGTATAAACACTGGAGACTATAGAAGGTGGGAGGATGGGAGGAGATTGAGAGTTGAAAAATTACATACTGGGAACAATGCTCACAATTTGGGTGATGGGTACACTAAAAGCCGAGGCTTCACCGCTATGCAAAATGTACATCTAAGAATTCTGCACTTGTACCCTCTAAATATATACAAATTTAATTTTTCTGAGACAGTCTTGCTCTGTCGCCCACTTGGATGCAATCTTGGCTTACTGTAACATCCGCCTCCTGGCGTCAAGCAATTCTCATGCCTCAGCCTCCCAAGTAACTGGGACTGCAGGTGCACACCACCATAACCAACTAATTTTTGTATTTTTAGTAGAGATGGGTTTTGATCTGCTGGCCTGGCTGGTCTCAAACTTCTGGCCTCAAGCAGTCCACCCGCCACGGCCTCCCCAAGTGCTGGTGTGAGCCATGGTGCCTAAAAGCCTAAAAATAAATTTTTTAAAAAAGCTGTAGACGTTTCTCTGGAAATAATATTCACATCCATACGTTTTATACTTAATTTTAGGAAATTCGTGACTCCTCCTCCTCAAACCTAAATGTTAAAAACCCTTGATGTAGGAAAATAGTATTCAAAACACAGAGTGAAGCCAGATATGGAAGGCCTTTATCTTGTGGGCAGTGTTGAACTATTTGAGATCTAAAAAGAAAAATTTGGTAGCAATATGAAAAATGCATGACAGTGAGAAAAAGAAATGAGACTAGTTAGGTGGCAGGGGAATAATTTAGGTAGGAGACTGTGCCAAGCAGTATTGGGAATGAGAAGAAATTAGAAGAAATATTGGCAAAGACAAATCAAAAGGACTTCATACCTGACTGGATATAGAATTGAGAAGAAATCAATGATAACAAGATTTGAGGAACAGTTATGCTGCAGGTCTACCTTGTCTTCAGTATTTTTAAATTACATTTTAGGTTTTGAGGTACATGTGAAGAACATGCAACATTGTTGCATAGGTACACACATGGCAGCCTGATTTGCTGCCTTCCTCCGCTTCACCTATATCTGGCATTTCTCCCCATGCTATCTCTCCCCAGCTCCCCACCCCCCACTGTCCCTCCCCTATTTCCCCCCAAGAGACCCCAGTGTGTGATGCTTCCCTCCCTGTGTCCATGTGTTCCCATTGTTCAACACCTGCCTATGAGTGAGAACATGCGGTGTTTGATTTTCTGTTTTTGTGTCAGTTGGCTGAGAATGATGGTTTCCAGGTTCATCCATGTCCCTACAAAGGACACGAATTCATCATTTTTGATGGCTGCATAATATTCCATGATGTATATGTGCCACATTTTCCCTGTCCAGTCTATCATCGATGGGCATTTGGGTTGGTTCCAGGTCTTTGCTATTGTAAACAGTGCTGCAATGAACATTCGTGTGCACGTGTCCT